GGGGAGTGGTATGTGTGCGAGAGCGCCCCCTGCAGGGCTCCCTAGCTCCGTTTTCAATTTACTCATGGTCAGGGTAGAACACACTCTCCAGTTACAAGCTGGGAAAGGGTACCTGGGAGATAGGGTTTTTGGGATTTTGCTAGCCTGAACATTTCCTGTTTTACACCCTTGTACTTGATTGAATTCTAAAGAGGCATAGAGTTTGAACGGGAAAATATTCTTTTGCTCAGAATCATTCACTCTATTTTCTTCATCTATAGTTCATTTTAGCAATTCCAATGTAACTTTTAATTACAAATATTTGTATGTGCCATGTATTTTCTCTCTAGAGATTTGTATAATATCTCTTCACCCATAGAGGTGAAAATACATGATGTTTGGATTTAATGTAAATCTTACACATTAATTTTACTGGATAGTCAGGGGCCATTTTTGAACTGGAGACCCACCCGTGTGCTTTGTTATAAAAAAAAAAAAAATTATCCATGTATTCTTTCTTGATAACTTCCTCATTTAAAAAGTCTGTTTCTTTCATCTTTGTGGGCCACTTATTAGGGAGATGGCAGACATCCAGAATTTGTCTCTATTTTCATGTCCTTCTCACATGTAGCATACACTCATTCCAGCCCAATGGCTTATCATTCCAGCATCAACTCAAAAATCTTAATGATGTGGAAAACCAAGGCAGAAGGAAAAAATTAATTTTCCTCACAACTTACAGCCATTGACAAGTCCGTAAGAGAGGCAGAGTGACCTTTGTCCGGGAGCTCAGCTGTCTTAATGATGACACTTTGCTAAGGGCAAAAGGGAATCTCAGCTTAACATTATCCTGACCCCCCAGGATCCCAAGTCTACTTTAACATATAAAAATGCCTTTGAAAACTTCTTTATCTCTACCCCCTCCCAAGACATATTTTGGCAATCATACTCCAAGCTTATGGTCCCCTGATAAACATCTGAAGTGTCTCATGACTGAGTTTTTACTAAACAGTAATAAATTATCTTTTCCTAACAATAGCTAGCCCCTCAAGGTCCTGGAAACCTTGTTTCCAAAATTCCTTAGAGACTTAGGCTGTCCCTAACCCCTTCCCAGCCTGAATGTATATAATCAGTCACCTGTCACAAACCCAGTACAGCTCTTCCTGCCCAAGGTCTTGTCCCCATGCTTTAATACAAACACCTTTTTGCACCAAAGACGTCTCAAGAATTCTTTCTTGGCCATCGACGCCGAATCCCAACACTTCAAGCCACATCATTAAGTCCCGAGTCTCAGCTAAGCAACATCTACATCAGATATGGTGAGACAATTCATCTAGAGGCAAATACTTTTATGGACTACTCCGGTTCATTTTTAATCAGTATCAAATTGTGACAATTTATCTAACCCTTTCTTGGGTTGTGGCTTTATTTTAAATGTTTGACTTCATGAATTATTGTTCAATGGAAATAGGGACAAAATGACCCTACAACTTATAATTTTATCTCTTAAGGTTTTTAAAAATTTATTTATTTACTTTGAGAGTGAGCAAGTCAGGGAGGGGCAGAGAGAGAGGGAGAGAGAGAGAGACTAAGGATCTATACTGATCTTTAAAAAGGAAAGCAAATTTCCCCCACTTGTAGATGCACATATAGTGAAAAATGAGCAAGATCTTGAAAGGAAAAATCATACAATTAAGGAGAATAACTGAAAACTATAAGACATTAATGAAAGAAATTGAAGAAGACAAAATTAATAGAAATATATTCCATGCTCATGGACTTAAAGAATTATACCGTCAAATGTCTGTACTACCCCAAAATAATTATACCGTGCAGCTCAAACAATGTGGTATTTTCACAACAACAACAAAGTTCCTCAAAGAGGAAGTTCTGGATAGATGCTTGAATGTTTGTGTGCTACAATATAGTACATAAATTTCTAGAATTATTAGCTTTCTAAAAAGATGATGATGATGATGATGATGATGTCATTCTCTATAAAGTAAATTACAGATGTATTAAATAATCATGTCTCCATGGACTTGAGGTAAGGAAGGGTTTCTTGCACAAAACACGAAAGGCATAAATCATGATGAAACGTTGAGTAAATACAGCTACAACAAAAACGTGGGGTGGAAACGTAACAAGAGCTAACAAAAACATCAAAATAAAACAAGACAAAATCAGAATGGGAGAAGATATTTGCAACAAATGCTGTTGAACAATACAAACAATGTATGTGTTCCTGAGACTTTCAGTTCCAGAAATAGGCTAAATTTCAGAGGTGGTTAGGTGAGAGTTCGATTTCTATTTTCTGAAATTCTCTTACATCGCCTTCAGTTTAATACTGAGGTTAGTTTTTGCCACGACCACTAGTAGCTACTAGTTCCAGCTGCATCTTAATTCACAAATACATTGCTCATATTTTACATTTGTCAACAAAGACTCCAACTTAATGATGATGGTTCCACAACTGAATCAAGCCTTGGTCCAGGAACATTTTATGGGCTGATAGAGTCACAAATGGAAGTGTTCTGATGGATCTGGATCTATCATGGTGGAGCCCAGGGTGAGGTCAACTCCCCCAAAATCTCAAGGTTGCCATCAATCTGGGGATAGCTAGAATGAATGCTGGCTAGTCAATCACAATATCCACTACAGGATGTCAAAATCCTGTAGCGATCCTGTTTTGATCAAAATTTGTTAGCCGTTATCTTTGGCAAAATGCAAAGAAATGATTGATTTATTTATAACATATTAGAGGAGAAAAATAGAATTAAATAATGAAAATGTTGATACAAATGTTACTACAAATACCTTTCCTTCAACTGAAGTTTTTTGCCTTGTATACTGTATCAGATTCCTAATCAACCTTTCCTCCACTAACTCCTTCCAAAGGAGATCTCTAAATTTCAAGTAAGTGCATGGCTTGTCCATATTTATCCAGTGGTGTGCTGGTGGATATTCAACAACTGGCTTTCCAAAGCTAGAGGGTAGGGTGGGAATGTGACTTGTGGCTTCTACCAATCTCTGAGGTGTAAATACTACCACCATAGCCAATTGTCAGCTACCAAAAATATGTTAACTTGCGGTCCCTGCAAATTTAAAATCAGCTCTCACAAGTCGATATAAGCCAGCTCAACACCACTGCAGAAATTTTCAACTGCTTCTGAAGACTCCTAGAGTTGCTCTGTCTTGTGGTCTCCTGTGAAGCGTGTGCTTTTTCTCTCTCCAAAGTTTTACCTTGCCATCTTTCCCACACACATCAAAGTTAGATACACTAAACTCTCCTGTTAGTTCCCTGGATATCCCCAATTCTCTTCAGCTGAAAGACTTTTGCATGAATCCCCCTTCATCGTGCAAATTCTAGTAATAGTTAAGACCTCATTTTAGAAGAAAAGTCTTCTAAAAAAATGATATCCCCTCTAACCCAGGTTAGAAATTCTCCCTATGTCTTCCCAAGATTCCTATATTTTTCCTACCACAGCCCTTATTACTGCATGTTGTAATTACACATTTCCATTGGGTCTAAATCCCTCACTATGAGCAACCTGAGAGCAGAGACTATATATCATTCTCTAATGCACATCAAACTTTTCACACAGCGCATGCACACAGTAGACATTCCCTAAATATTGCTGAATGGATTAAAAAAACATAAAAATATATTATATATATATAATATATATATATATATTATATATATAATATTGGTCCAGGGACCAATATTATATATACAATGAGTGTGTGTGTGTGTGTGTGTGTGTGTGTGTGTGTGTGTTCTGAAGAAGAGAGGCAACAATTAGTAGAGAAGAGTATGAAAGAATTTTTGCCCATGTGGTAAACATGATGCTAAGAATAGCCTATGGGTATGAACTTACAGACATTATGAATGACTCAGCTTAGTATCAAGAGAGGGGAATTAACTTCTAAATCTGAAACATAAGCACTTCAGCAGAAGATAAATCGGGAACCAGATATATCAGGAGGAGACTTAACATCAAACTGCCACCTTAAAAAGACAGCCATTGATGTCACCAGGGGGATGGGAGGAGCCACAATGGAAGTGAGGGTTTCTGCCATCCTCCCTGCACATCTGATCACCGTCCCACCCCAGCCTTAACAGCAGTGGCGGCACCAACAACGGCCACTTAGTACTTGCGGTTCTACGTACCACTTACAAGGGCTGAAGCCTTATAACAACCGATGAGGTAGTCCATTGACATTACACCCATTTTATGGATGAGGAAAAACAGGTCAGGGAGCTTAAGTAACTTGCTCAACTTCACACAGGTAACAAGTGACGGTATCACAATTTAAACCCAGATCTGTAAGGATCTAAAGCCCTTATTCCTTACTTCTCCGTTTTACAGTTTCTCACCATCCTTTGAAGAACAAATGTTGATTGATATTGCTCTCAAAGTCCCCGATCGACACCATCGTTTACGTATCAGGGCTTGTGGGAATCTCAGAAGCTGACCGAAATAAAACCTCTGAGACATGACCCTACCCCCCTCAAATGTGAGAAAAAATGATCTTAACGATGATAATGATGATTTTTTATTTGAGGTTTTACAATGCTGACGTCAGCTAAAGTCAAGAACCATTTTTCTGCAAAAAACATATGACTCGTTTTCCTTCTCAATGGGTGGTTGGGAGTTGGATTTAGAGAGAATTCATAAAACGGGAATTATTCTGCGTGCTTCCTTTAAACCTTGTAAGGCAATGGAGTAGGTGGGTAAGAAGAAAGAGCACCGATTATGGGAACAACTTTGGAGTGGTGAGCACAGAATTTACAAAAACAAAAAAGTTGAGTCAGATATTCAAGTTTCTTCGTGCCGTAAAGAGAGGAGGCTCCTGTCTTCCTGAGGTCTTTGATGAAGCTCTGACTCATTGGAGAGTTGAGGTTGAACTTCCTTGCTCTCAGATTTAGTTTCATCAGGAGGCATTTCTGCTTACACAGAATTACCAGGTGAGGAAATCGCCTGGAAAATAAAACATCAGTTTCCAAGAAAAGGATCATCATCTCCCTCTCCTTCCATCCCTTCCTTAATCATCATGATTATCGTCAATAATATGTGTTCACTGATTACTACTATGCTAAAGTTTTATATACATAGTCCTCCCAACCAATGTCAGAAGACAATGAAAATGTTTTCACCTTATAGGTGAGTTACCTAAAATCTAGAAAGAATTCATGGTTTTTCCTGGGTATACAGTTAGAAACTGACAGGTTACATGGAAATTATTGAACTTAATTATATCTGTATAAAAATATGTTAAATATTATTATTAAATTATTATATTGTAGTAACTGTATTATTATTGATATTGTCATTTATTATCACACTAATTATATTACTATAAGATCATACTGTGATGTTATAAATGTATTGAATATTATTTTAAATATATTGGTTCCGGTTAGATTTTCACATCAGAATCCTTTTCCAGCCTTCATTCCATCCCTCACTTTCATACAATCTCTAACTCCAGGGACCCCACAAATCCTTACTACATAAAATATCTTTTCAACTCTAGAAGTCGGAGAGAACCTTAAACCTTAGCAGACCATGTGAATTATTAGTCATGGAAACAAACTCACCTTTCTGGAATTACATGCGTTTTCTGCACACCACATGGCTGAAACAGAGATGCTGATGCATAATTCCAGCAACGTAAGGATGAGCATTAGAGACATGATGCCCTAGGAGATATGATGCCTCATATGACACATAGTACAAACATTCAGAGGGAAAACATGTTATCAAGAAACCAAATATAACATCTCCCTCCTTTAAAACAGAACAAAGTGAACCATAGATTAGGTTTAAGACACAGGCACACACCAACATTCTTTAAGAGACACCTCATCAACCTAAAAACATAGAAACCGGGGCCTGGGGGGCTCAGTTGGTTAAGTGTCTGACTCTTGATTTTGGCTCAGGTCATGATCTCACGGTTCGTGGGATCAAGCCCCATGTTGGACTCTCTGCTGACAGCATTGCCCTGGTTGGGATTCTCTCTCTCCCTCTCTCTCTCTGCCTCTCCCCTGCGTACCCTCTCTCTCTCTCTCAAAATAAATAAATAAACTTTAAAAATAAGTAAATAATGGGGCACCTGGGTGGCTCAGTCGGTTGAGCGTCTGACTTCGGCCCAGGTCATGATCTCGTGGTCTGTGGGTTCGAGCCCCACATCGGGCTCTGTGCTGACAGCTCGGAGCCCGGAGCCTGTTTCAGATTCTGTGTCTCCCTCTCTCTCTGACCCTCCCCTGTTCATGCTCTGTCTCTCTCTGTCTCAAAAATAAATAAACATTAAAAAAAATTTTTTTAAATAAGTAAATAATAAATAGATAAATGGAAAAAATTTACCTGGAGAGAGAGATACATTGCATTTTTTATCAACCACGTGAAGTGGTCACAGCTGAAGAGGCTGTAAAGGCAAAATTCTGATATTCTTGCTAACGTCTAGGAATCTGAGTCATAGCCAACTAAAGAAATGAGTAGGTAGTTCAGAACAATGGACAAAAAAGACCCCCCACCATTTCATTAATGGGATTTTATTAGAAGGTTTATGTGTCTATGCCATCCCTAGAAACTAAACACTAAACTGAAATATTAAACACAAAATTACTAGACTAGCGATCCTGCTATTATCACTGAGGCACCTCGAAGGAGAAGCAAACACAAGATTGCTCCAGAAGGAAAATACTACAAAACCCACCTGAAAACGACAACAACAACAACAACAACAAAAAACCCAGACCCATAGAAATATAAACTTAGATAATTAACAATACATTTCAGAAAGAAAAAAAATGAGGCACAAACTTCTTTGCCAGCAAACAGGAGGACTGGGAGTCAGGCAGTAAAAATAGGTCATCAAATAGGTCATCACGGAGAAAAAAGGCAAATTTAAAGGAAAACCTTAATTCTAAATTGACCTCAGAAGAGGGAGAATATCTAACGCAAACAACAACATCATTTGAAAAGTTTCTTAGGGAGCTTCCCTTTAAAAATAATATACCCCCAAAATTCCAACGTGAAGTACCACATTCCAAACTTCGGTGACTCATGATTCAAAAATCCCAGGTCACAGAGAACACTGTAAATCTCCCAAGTCAGTTTTATTAAGTAAGATATGAAATTTAAAAAATTTCATTTAATTTCTCTGGGGAGTGTAATAGTAGCAGCAGCAATAAATACTAATATTATAACACAATGTGCACTGGGTTTTTTTTTTTTTTTTTTTTTTTTTTTTTACTGTTTACTTATTTTTGAGAGAGAGAGACAGAGTGTGAGCAGGGGAGGGGCAGAGAGAGAAGGAGACACAGAATCCGAAGCAGGCTCCAGGCTCCGAGCTGTCAGCACAGAGCCCGATGTGGGGCTCGAACTCATGGACCGCGAGATCATGACCTGAGCCGAAGTCGGACACTCAACCAACTGAGCCACCCAGGCGCCCCAATGTGCACTGTTTTAATTGCTCATCAAATATGAACTTGTTTAACCCTTACATCAACCCTGTGAGATTGATACTATTACCATCCTCATATCAAAGATGAGCAAATTGGGGCGCCTGGGTGGCTCGGTCTGTTAGGCATCCGACTTCAGCTCGGGTCACGATCTCACAGTTTGTGGGTTCAAGCTCCGCATCCGGCTCTGTGCTGACAGCTCAGAGCCTGGACCCTGCTTCAGATTCTGTGTCTCCCTCTCTCTCTGCTCCTCCCCTACTCATACTCTGTCTCTCTCTCTCTCTCTCTCTCTCTCAAAAACTAATAATAAAAAAAAAAAGATGAGCACATTGAAACACTATCTAATTTGCCCTTCATTGTAGAGCTAATAAGTGGCAAAGCCCGGATTCAAATCAAGGTAGCATGATACCCGATATGATATTCTTCTGTACATCTGAGATCATTTGGAATATTTTATAATTAAACATAATTTTTGAAAACATACGTTTGATAAGACGTCCATGCAAATGCATAAGTCCAGTGACTGTGAAGACGGACATCCCTTGAGAGAATACTTATTAACTGCTAAATTGATCGAGACCAAAACAAACCCAACTAGAGCAACGGTAGTGCTGGCAATATTCATTCCAAAATTGTGTTCCACCTAAAAAAGAACAGGAATTTTCAATTAATATAGGAAGCACATGCTTCCTTCCTTTGGTAGCAATTCATTTAAACCCCCATCTAAGACCTGCGGGTCTTAAGAAGAACTTTGGTTCTTACTCTGAGGAAAATATAGAGTCCCTGGAGGATTTTGAGCAAGGGGCAATGCAGTTAGATTAATGGGAGCACTGAGGTCTCAAGCAGGACTAGTGTAGACAGGGCCAGCGGTAGAAGCAAGGAACCCGGTTATGAAAGATGGTGTCTGACTGGATGAGAAACAGTCAAAGTCAGATTTAGCTTGAACATAGGGCCAACAGGATGTGTGAATCAATTGGATTCAAGATTGTCAAAGAAAGAGAAGTCAGGGATAATCCTCAGGGTTTGGGCCTGGGAATCTGGAAAGAGGGAGTGCCCATCAGCTGATATGGGGAGGAAATGGAGGGAGAAGGTTGGAGGAGGAAGATTAGGATAGAGTTTGGGAGATTTTAGAACTCTTAAGTGGAAGCAATGAGATCCACCGGCATGTTGCCCAGAGGGAGATCTAGGCTGGAAGTGTTTATTTCAGGGTTGTGGGCATGCAATGTCACTTGAAGCCAGGAGCATGGATGAGGTCACCAAAGGAGTGAGTAGGGCAGGTAACAAGGAATTGAGTTCTGGGGAACCCCAACTTTTGAAGGTCAGAGAGAAGCAAAGGAAAGGAGATTGAGAAGGGGACACTGAAAAGACAAGAGGAAACCAGCTAATGGAAGTGATCTAGAAGCTAAATGAAGAAATTATTGGAAGGAGGAATGAGTGATCCACTGCATACTAAATGCTGCCCATGAATCAAGTTAGATGAGGACCGGGAATTGATCTGTGCGTTGCCAACAGAGAAATCAGTAGTGATCTTAAGGAGAGTGTTTACAAAGATGTAACAGGGAAGAAAATAAAGCCTTATTATAAAACAATGCCCTTCCTGGGTAGATTGGAAGTTCTTACTCGATAGGTAGGGAAGAAAATAAAGCTTTATTGGAAAATAAAGCCCTTACTGGGTAGATTGGAACTGGAGACAGAGTGTAGATAATTCCTTTGAGGAGTTTAACTACAGAAGGAAAAGCAAATTGTGCCCATAGCTATCAGGAGAAAATAAGGTCAAGGTATTTTTTTTCTGCTTAGATTAGTAACTGGATGCTGATAGGCTGATTGAAAAAATCTAGCAGAAAGACATTTAGAGTGATGCACTCAGGTGGGAAAAAAAAAGGAACAGAATCTAGTATTCAAATAGGGATGACAGCTTTGAAGAAAATCAGAGTCACCTACGGTAAGAAGTTAGAATAAAAAACGAATCGGTTCAGACCTGTTCTGTGAAGTGGATGTTAGAGAGGGCATCTGAATGTTCTTTTCTAAGGGCTTGGGTTTCTCAGAATAGGGAGCAAGGTCATCAACAGAGAATAAAGGTAAAAGAAAAGGGATTGGTGTTCAAGGTGGCCATCCATGGAGAAGGCAGAGTGAATGAGCTAGGAAAGGCGTGTAGCTGGCAGAGAGATGATTTAGTGAGAACACATAACAGGGACTTATGAAGTGTATAAGGAATCACTAAAGGAATAGAACTTTTGGCTTTTGGGTGTGGACTTAGTGGTGGGAAAGGGTACACTCAAAGTAGTTAGAATTAGTCAAGTTTCACAACACACAAAAATCAAGAAGCCTTTTTCTGAGCTTCAGATTCATCAAATATTCAAAGTAACCATCCCAGGAATCATTCACAATCTCCATGATTTTCTGATAATTTACCATCTGAATGCCTTAAGAGAATTTTCTTGTGCATTACACAAGACTCGGTGTCTCAGTTGAATTCACCAACCTCTACTCTCTTGTTATTAATGGGTAACTTATTTCTAGTTCCACAATCATAGGTATACAGGAAGAACTGCCACTTACCAACTTTTTTGTGGGCTTTCTCCCAGCTGCAACAGACAAGGATCCTGAAACAATAAACTGTTTAAACACAGGAAATGAAACAGATAAGAGAACATTAAGTCTCAACCATTTTCATTTTGTCCTCCGTCAATTAGTAGATATCTAGCAATGGTTGCATAAAATTTCTTTCTAAAATTCACACTCTATCACAGAGAATTATATTCGATGTTGCTCATCATTTCGTATGAATAAAATTTTTAATTAGTTAAAATTTTGAGCAAACATGTGATATTTTATTACATCTGTTTTTATACATTATATGAGCGTGCATACTTTAAAAACATAAGATAAAGACATATATGTAATGCGATATAATTATCTTTATGCTTATACTTATATTAAATGTAAATAATATTTATTTACATACACATGCATATATAACGTCATGCTCATATTCTGACTCAAGCTTCAGATGAGGGTTTGATTTATTGGATTAGATGTTCTGAAAGAACTTCAGCTAGTCTGTCTACATTGCTATACCTACTCATTTTAAATGATTATTTTGATAAGCTATTATTTTCATGACTCTAATTTTATAAAGTGAATTCTCTACAAGTTGATGGCTTTCTCAAAATTTCATGCTGTTTTATACCCCACAAATTCTTACAACAATTTGCTGAGCCACGCCTATGGTTTGAGGGCAAAGTTGCCAAAATCATGGAGAGCAAGAGCTGGCTCCATAGATTCAATTCTCGAATATTCTGCCTGAACACAAAGGAACAGGCTTCGGATTCCACGTCAAATAACAAGATGGTTATCACGAGAAAGTTCAGGGTCACTAGAGCTTTATGGTCGAGAGCATATGCACCCTGACCCTATCTTCAGCTTGTATTCATTCAGTCACCTAGGCTCAGTTTTTGCCTACTTCTTTTTCTGTAAAATAGAGATGTGCATATCCCCATGTTAATATTACTGACCTTATAGCTATATGGGGATGGAATGAAATGATACATGATGAGGTCTTGGAAATTGGCCTGGCACACCTAAAGCACTTGTATTATTAACAATAGCTAAGGTTTTTATGTATTTTTTTCCCCATTTAAAAATGGCCCAAAAAGAGGGCCCCCATGTTATTTCTACTATCTTACTGAAGAAACTAAAGGGTAAGAGCTTAGATATTTTTCTCAAAGGTCAATAAGGATGGGTAAGAGGAAGATTGGTTCATAGAAGGAATCACACGGTCAATAAACAGCAGGGCCCGTATACAGAGGGAAGGGGAGGGAGACAGGGGTGTAGTTGCAGGTAAGGCCAGATAATGTCGTGGATCTTAGACTTTACTCCATCAGCGATAGACAGAGCCGGGGCAAAGCTTCCAGCGATGGGAATCCAATGGTCAGATTTGAACCTTCATGCTGAGGATGCTTTCAAAGAATGAGCTCTGGCTTCCTGACCACATTTTTCCAACATACTGACCCCAGCTTTCTGAGAAAAGAAAACTCTTTCCTGATGGAATAACTGAAACACTTCACCATCCTCTGTTCTACAATATGGAAGTTTTCCATTTAGATAGTCAGGATTCATTATGCAGAGAAAATGTGTACTTCAGGTTTTCTAGAAAAATTCAGACTCCAAGTATTTCATCAAAATGATAGTAGGAACTATCTAAAAATTTCAGAAATGTTAAATCCAAATTACGTGTTTTATACTGCATCCAGAAACTGAATGTCATCTTTTGTCAGCATATGAGATTGTTGACAAATTATGAGCAATTTTGTTTTAAAGAAGATCTGAAGGTCGATGATTCTGAAAAACTAAACTCATGAATAAATTAGAGCCCCAGATTTGCTATAAATTTATATCTTCTTCTTTGCCAATTACATGTTCCATTTACTATTTTCAACTAAACTTGCCCATCTTGGATTTCATGGTAGTCTGAGACCGAACACTTATAAATTCTCAAAGGTCTAACACCAGAATAGACAAGAAAAAAAAAAACAAAAAAATTAGTGTCTGATTAGCAAATAGTTCCAACTAATTATCTTTTTAAAAAGAAAACATCAGGTAGTTGATAATCAAATAACAAATTTATTTATTCAAATAAATTTTAAAACCACCTAGAACCAAAGCCTATTTTATTGGTTCTGTTTTGACTCAAATAGGGGAAATCAGTCTTCTGATTTCCAGACTGTAATCAGCAGGCGAATCTCTTATCTCCCAAACCAGGACTCTCTTGACTGCACAAGACAATTCACCAATACTCATTTTTCATTTGATTTTCTTAGCATCCATAAATGTAATAGCTGGATTTAATGCATGAATACATCAAGTTAATGTTTGAGACTTAATTTGTACTCAGCAAATGTGATTTCTCTTACTCAGGAAGGCACTTTGTTTTTAAAAGTTGTGTAAGGAATTACAAATCAAACCCACAGCATGCAATCTCCAAATAACCTAAAAACAACACTTTAATAATCTAACACATTTCTAGCAGTGGTATCTAAGAAATGATCTATGGTCAGGGGAACATGAATACGCACAAAAACAGCACCCCATAGTGGGTAGCCTGTGTAGAAGACCAAGAAAAACGGGCGGAAGGGGCGAAATATGCTTTGTAAGGCACCTAGAAAAACACCCAGAGCCAGAATTGTTGCTCCATTCATGATCTGGACGGCCTATAAGAAGGAAAAAAGAAAAAAAAAAAGCATAATGGTCATGTACTAGTGTCCATGAAGAAGAGACCATTTGAATTTTCTTCAGAAAGGAGATATCATTGCTGGTAATGATGACAATGTCAAGCTTAACTGGGCAAAGCCTTATTCTGGGAGGTTTTTGTTCTATGCCATTCCCACAGATCCCAATGACAGCCCTTCATCACCACGTCTCTCCCTCCTCCTGTCCATTCTCACAAACTCCTTCCAGACAGTGGTAGAAAAGTAGAGGCAATATGGCTGGCAACACAGACGGGGTCAAATATCTTCCTAGCACACCTTGGGGCCATAGTATGATGAAGGCACTCAGACATTAAACAGCAGTTCATCCAAGCTTTCGTCAATCCAATTTTTAGATCTAAAATACGGAAGGCATTCATAAGAACTCAGCCTCCCGAGGTGGTGGTCAGACTGGAGTCCATTCTCCAATGCTGACAGGACAGTTCCTACTCCCCAGGTCTAAAATGGGTCCCAGTCTTTTCTTAAAGAAGCAACATTATTGACTTAGTGATGAATAATTCAGAAATCTCTCCTGATGAGGATAGACAAGGTTTTCCACATGCTATTTATTTTCTTCTGTCTTAAACCAATTTGTAAACTAAAGATGACCTACCCCAAGGGCCTGTAACTTCTCCTTCTGGTGATTTTGTGATCCATTAATGGGCTGGTAGACAGAGTTATTCACCACCTCTGGCTCCACCTGGCTTGCTGGGGTACCACCTGCTGAGGCTGCCTCCAGTTCTGCATTCTCATCTCCTCGGGAGGCCATCTGGGGTTATTGATGGCTATCACAGAAAAGAAATCCAAAGGTTTGATGTTTTCCCTTTCCCCACCAGCTACAATTTTTTGAGTGCAACAGAAGGGTTCATTTCCGTCCATACATCAAAATGACTCTCCACAAATGGAGCATCAATTTACATTGTTCAATTTCATTTTGTCTTGGAGTAGTAGACACCATCAAACTACTGTAGTAAGTCTGAGTGCCTCACATAACTTTGAAACAGTGAAGTGTGATTCCTTTCTCATTTTTATATGTATGTATACATTACATAGCCCCTCTTCAAATCAATTCTGGACAACCAGACAGATGGTTTCACTGAAAGTTGATCTCTTGGTTGAGGAAAATGACTTTGGTCACCTCCCTATAATAACAAGAGGTATAATTTATTGAGTTGCTCCTACATGCCAGGTACTGTCTGGTTGCTGTGACCGTGTTAACATATTTAATCCTCCCAACAATCTATGTTGCGATATTATTATTCCGATTTTAAAGATGAAAAAATTGAGGCATAGAGAGGTCAGATAACTTACCCACACTTAACACAGCTCATAACTGAGTTCAGCTCTATTAGGGACATTCTACTTTAAGGTCGAACATTTTTTAATCGTTATGCTATATAGTACTATATGGAAGATACCGTTCTGGGTCACCGTTCGGTACAGCGGAAAGAGTTTAAGCACCGTGGAAGAGACGAATCTAAATCCAAATTTGGCCACTTATTAGTTGTGTGATCTAGTAATGGGAGCCTCAGTGTTCACATATGTAAAATGAAAATAATTTTAATTTCATATTAACATGGCAAGAGGCAACTTTGATAAGGTCTGAAGTCCCTAACCTAATAGACAGTTGGTAAATGTTAACTTTAACTCATACTCTGCCTTGTGGCAAAAAAAAAAAAAAAAAAAAAAGACTCAAAGTATTGTATATAAGGTTCACCAAACAACCACCTCAATCATTACACCTAAAAAAGATGTGTCGCTAAAATATACACTGGGGGCGCCTGAGTGGCTCAGTTGGTTAAATGTCTGACTCGCTTTCAGCTCAGATCACCATCTCATGGTTCATGAGTTCAAGCCCCACATCAAGCTCTGCACTTTCAGTGACTTGGGATTCTCTCTCTCTCTCTCTCTCTCAGAATAAATAAATAAACAAAATTAAATATATATATATACACACACACACACAGTATGTTCAATCTTGAGCAATATAACTTCCTAGTGGGAAAACTGATAAAGGGAAACTTGTTTCAGATGGAGTCAGGACGCCACAACAGGGGCTTCTCGTGCCCTGTCCCTCCTCCTCAGTTGTAGACCCAACAGGAAGAGAAGCACTTGGCATCTTCCAAGTCAATACCACTTTACTATCCCAGAGAAGAGCAGCCCAGCCAACAAGAGGCTGTCACAACTAAAAGCTACTCTATTTCCAAGTCCCAGTCTGCTGCAAGGGACTTTTTGGGTATAACAGTAACTCCTAATTCCCCTCTTTCCCTCTATAAAAGAGCAGTTCCTTCTCTTTGTTGTCTGGACTCACATATGATTTTGTGTTAGCTTGCTTGTCCCAAATTGCAATTCTCTACTCTTCCTGAATAAACCCATTTTTGCTAGTAAAATAACTGATAACAGGCTTCTCCAACACAAAGTGATTGCAAGATGCTTCTCTGCTTTTACAACTGATGAGGTGGACAGTAGGAGATTAACCACAGGGGCACCTGGGTGGCTCAGTCGGTTAAGCGTCTGACTCTTGATTTTGGCTCAGGTCACAATCTCACAGTTTATGAGTTCAAGCCCCACATCGGGCTCTGTGCTGACAGTGCAGAGCCTGCTTGGGATTCTCTCTACCCCTACTCCACTTGCTCTCTGTCTCTCTCAAAATAAATAAATAAGCTTAAAAAAGCTTTTTTTTTAAAGAAAAAAGAGATTAACTACAAACCCATTATATACTGCTGAATTCTGCCAAAACTGTTGACTTTGAGTTTAGAATGGTTTCTTACTTTCTACTTTTTGTTGCAAATTGTACGGCAGATCTATTGTTCTAATAATTTCACTCACTTTTATCAGATTAGATCCATGCTGCTTCCTTTCAGGATAAGGTTTACCTTTCCAGTTCTCTATCATAAAGGCTATGTGTCATGCTTATTTATTCACAAAGGCACTAAGAAGGTGAAAGTCAGAACACATTCTATCTTTAACTTTATCACATTGAAAATTGCTATTTTACCTCTCATCAAAATGTCCTGCCAATACTGATTTCCATGCTAGCATTTAGGTACACGCTCTGTTTAAACACTGATAAATACAGAATGACAAGGAACCCTTACCTTCCATGTTCAATACTATGCATGGAATCCAAGAAGGAGGAAATATCAAAAGTTGACGGCAAAGTCTGTTTTAATAAATGCCTGATGTAATCCTGGTCAGGATGTATAATAATAAGAATGGCCAAACAGGGCCACCTGAGTGGCTCAGTCGGTTAAGCGTCTGACTTCAGCTCAGGTCATGATCTCGAGATCCATGAGTTCGAGCCCCACATCAGGCCCTTGCTGACAACTCAGAGCCTGGAGCCTGCTTTGGATTCTGTGTCTTCCTCTCCCTCCGCCCCTCCCCTGCTCGTGCTCTGTCTCTCTCACTCTCAAAAATAAACAAACGTAAAACAAAAGTTTTTTAATCCCCTCAAATCCCTCTCTCATCTATGTTGAACATCACCTTGCAAAGCTCAGGCTTAACATTTATCCATTGGGAAATATGTATATATATACATTTTTTTAAAGATTTTATTCTTTTTTAAGTGATCTCCACACCCAACATGGGGCCCAGATTCACCACCTCAAGATCAAGAGTTGCATGCTTCACTGACAGCCAACCACATGCCCTGGGAAATACAACTATATTTTACACAAGATATCTACCTCGCTAAAATGTATTAATGTGGAGCGCAGTGCTCCTTCATGATCAGATACCTGCTTGCCTGTTAGTCCAGCTTCACGCCTCCCCCTCCCTATCTCACAGCTCTGTCCAGCCATGTTTTATTTCTTTTAATGCCCCCCAAGCATCAAGTTCTCAAAAGTCTTCAACTCTCCTTCTCAGTATTATTCCTCTCTTCCTGAAACACGTTTTCCCTCAAGCTCCACCTAGAAAATTTCTGCTCTTCTTCCAGACTGACTCTCAGTCCACATGCCACACTTTCCTGAGGGAAGCCATCTTGAGTCCTGGCCGGGTCTGGAGGAAGCCTCCCCTTTATTACCTCAGAACGCCCTGCCCTCTGCTTCCCTTTTCCTACTACTTACGTATCTGAACCTCAACTGACTGGATGTTCACCTGTACCTGATGTCTTCCCATCCTGGTAACCCCAGGGCCTAGATCTGTGTCTGTCACATGCTGCGCACTCAGCGAATACATGCTTAATAAATAAATGAACTTTTGGTCCCGCTTGATGTAGCCATGCCTTATGAATGATAATGTGAAATATGTTTGTGAGGATTGGAGCCTCTCATACAGAGAAACTCCCGAGTAGTTCTGGAAGGAGGAAATCTATCATTTATTTTTTAAGTTTATTTATTTGTTTTTCTTGAGAGAGAGAAAGCTGGAGTGGGGGAGAATCAGAGAGAGAGAGGAGAGAGCAAGAATCCCACACAGGCTCCACACCAAGAACGCAGAGCCCAATGCAGGGCTCAAACCCACAAACCACAGGGTCATGACCTGAGCCAAATTCAAGAGTCAGATGCTTAATTGACTGAGCCACCCAGGCACCCCTCTAGCCACATCATTTGACTTTTTTATTTTGTTATTTTGTTTATTTATTTATTTTGAGAGAGAGAGCACAAGTAGAGGAGGGGCAGAGATGGGAGGGGTGGGGGGAGAGAATCCCAAGCAGGCTCGTGCTGTTTGCGCTAAGGCCAATGTGGGGCTTGAACTCATGAACCATGAAATCATGACCTAGGCTGAAACCAAGAGTCAGATGCTGAACCAACTCAGCCACCCAGGTACCTCTTGATTTTTTAAAATAACTATAAATGGGGCACCTGTGTGGCTCAGTCGGTTAAGCCTCTGACTTCAGCTCAGGTCATGCTCTCATCGTTCATGGGTTCAAGCCCCATGTTGTGCTCTGGGCTGACGGCCCAGAGCCTGGAGCCTGCTTCAGATCCTGTGTCTCAGTCTCTCTCTGCCCCTCCCCTGCTCACACTCTGTCTCTCTCTCTCTCTCTCTCTCTCTCTCTCTCTCTCTCAAAGGTAAATAAACATTAAAGAATAAATAAATAAAAATAAAATAACTATACATATCAGGGAGAATTTTCAGGCTTCAGGCAAAATAAACTATGTTCAATAATGTGGTCAATTGAGCTTGTTTTTTTTAATGGGAGAAGTGTAGATTTCCCGAGAACCCATTAAGTTCACCTATCTGGCTTTTAGTGTGTGTCAGGCATTGCACTAAATGCTTTACCCATTTAACCACCATATGTCTCACACATCCATATAAATAGGTACTGCTGCTATGATCCTTTCCATTTTGCAGGCGAGAAAGTGGAACACCAGGAGACTTAAGTAATTTGCCAAAACCCACAAGGCCAGCAATTTCAGGAGCTGGAGACCCGAACCTGGCAATCTGGCTTTCAGAGTATCGTTACCATCCCTCTGAGCTCATGCAGAAACTCACTTACTAAATCCTTACTTCAGATGTGTCCAGACCATCCCTCATTCCCACAGCCGGGAGCCGAATTTGGAGGCAGCCACTTGGATTATATATATCTAAGAGGTGTGTGTGTGTGTGTGTGTGTGTGTGTGTGTGTGTGTGTGTGTGTGTAGGTGGTGTCCACGCCCGTGTCTTTCCAAAGAAATAACTAGACAATTATGTCTAACATTTTGAACACCAGAGGAACAATCAGACTCTAAGGGGAAGCCATGCTCGCAGCTGACAGTTCCAAATCTCTACGTGACAACCAACCAGAACACTCTGCAGACATCCTCACGGCCCACTGACTCTCCTGGGTGGCACCCAGGAGACAAGAAAAAAGGGGGCTTTCTCTGAAGAGCGAATCTGTAGGGTTTACCTTGGAGGCTTCAAGCGTTGGAAGACGTCTTCCCTCTGAAGCCGAGTAGGAGACTCTCAGTAATGACAGCGACGGTGTCCTTTCTGGAAAACTGCAGCCTCTTCGGACTCAGGCTTAACGTACCTTTGCCTGAGGCAACACTCTAGGGGAGTCGGTGAAAATGTGGTGCTGGCTGACTGAAGAGTGTGCCAACCACACGGGCACCTGGGACGACTCTGCTTTCACTGCGCGTCCCCAAGGCTTGCCGTTGATTAGGAAACTGGCAGCAGGAGTAACCGTCTGCTGGCCCTGTGACATTGCTTAACATATGGTTGGACCAAGAAATGCAAGCAGGAAGTACAGGGAGATGGGTGGGAAAGCACTGTGGGATGGGGGGTGTCGAACAATCACTTTCCCAGTAAGAAAAGAACGAAGTCAGATGGTAAGAGCAGCGTCTGGAGGGGGGAGGGTGGTCACACGCATCCTTACGTTCAATTCTCACAGGCTTAGACAGGCTGGTTCGTCTGCCAACGTCAAAGATACAAAAATTAGGGGCGCCTGGGTGGCGCAGTCGGTTAAGCGTCCGACTTCAGCCAGGTCACGATCTCGCGGTCCGGGAGTTCGAGCCCCGCGTCAGGCTCTGGGCTGATGGCTCAGAGCCTGGAGCCTGTTTCTGTTTCTGTGTCTCCCTCTCTCTCTGCCCCTCCCCCGTTCATGCTCTGCCTCTCTCTGTCCCAAAAATAAATAAACGTTGAAAAAAAAAATTAAAAAAAAAAAAAAAAGATACAAAAATTAGGCAAATTGTAGTTTAATGGCATTGAATGATTGCTGCGTACCAGTCATCACTCTAAATGCCCTGCGCGCATTAACTCACTTCAGCCTCACGATGACTCCAGGCCAGGGTATAACAGGTAACCCAATCTCACAGAAGAGAAAACTATGGCATAGAAACGTTAACCAGCTTTCCTAACCGGAGCCAGTGCTCGGCCAAGCTGTGTGCAAACCTCAAGCTCTGGGTAGGGTGAGGTCAGGGTCATGCCTGCTACTCCCAGTATGATTTGTAAATAATGATGCCTCTTGGGGTGCCTGGGTGGCTCAGTCGGATAAGCATCTGAGGTCAGCTCAGGTCATGATCTCATGGTTTGTGCGTTTGAGCCTCACGTCGGGCTCTGTGCTGACAATGCGGAGCCTGCTTGGGATTCTTTCTCTCTCTCTCTCTCTTTCTCCCTTTCTCTCTCTGCCCCTCCCTCACTTGCTCTCTCTCTCTCTCTCTCAAAATAAATAAAGTTGAAAATAAATAAAGAGGGGCACCTGGGTGGCTCTGTCAGTTAAGTGTCCGACTTCAGCTCGGGTCATGATCTTGAGGTTTGTGAGTTCAAGCCCCGTGTCAGGCTCCATGCTGACAGCTCGGGGCCTGGAGCCAGCTTCAGATTGTGTCTCCCTCTCCCTCTCCCCCTCCCCCGCTCATTCTCTGTCTCTGTGTCTCGAAAATAAATATACATTTCCTTAAATTTAATAAACAAATTAATTAATTAATAAAGCCTCTCCTCACTTTCAAAAGTACCCCAGCTCAGAAGATACATTATTGGGAAAATGAATAAAAAGAAACCTCGTTTGTGAAAATGGTGTTGGGAAGCCAAAAGCAGGCAGCTCTCATGCCCTACTGCTTCCCCGGAATGGCAGAGCCCACAGGAAGAGACCTCCCTTCTCAATCCATACTATTTTGCCTTCTTTAATACCCAGCAGAAGGAAGAAAGGTGTTTCTCACCTCACCACCTTCTCCTGGCAACAGCCCAGCCAATGAGAGACAGTCACACTCAGCCAACAAGGAGCCCCTACACTTAGAATTCCCTTTTTCCCCCAATGGACTTTTTGTTTCTAACAGCCCTCCCCAGCTCCACCCCTTTCTCGATAAAAGAGTGGTCCTCCCCTTCCTTTTGAGGATTTTCCTATGGTTTGCTGTAGCTTGCTTTTGTCATGTTGCAATTCCCTACTATTCCTGCACCAACCCATTTTTGCTGGTGAAATGACTGGCAGTTTTATTTTTAGGCTTAACATTCCACAATCGTCCTAAATAAATAAAGTGCCCTTAAATAGATGATGGGAAGATCAGAGCCAAGAGGCAGTAGGGCAATAAATCACATGTGGAGATTCAAAATGCAATCTTTAGGAAGGTCACAGGACAGAGCCTGGAGGGGGCAGCCCATGACTGGGTGAGGTCCTCATTCTAGAAACTGGAGCAGAAGGGGAAACTTGGTCACGAAAAGAGAAAAAGAGGCCGGGTACCATGACCGAAGGAGCGCTCTGGGAGGGGACATGGTGAACTTGGACTCTGAATATGAAGTGAGTGGAGGCCTGGCAGCCAGAGAAATGTAATCGTGTGCAGGAGCTCTGCGACCAGGGCTGGTACCCAAGCCTGGAGTAGAGACTCTGGAGCTTTGGATGACAGAGAAACTCTAAACATAAGGAAATAGCTAACAGGATGGCAGCAAAAGGTATGTTCCTCATGTTTCACTTTAGCCAGAGTCATTGCAAATGGAATACTGATGAAATAGCAGGAGGAGAAGGCG